TTTTAGAGCAATCAATGAACTATTCATGCTATGGACACTTCAGAAGTATAACATGGGATCACTAGGAATGCTTGGCCCATTTATGACTCAGGATCTCATATTTTCATCTCATGATTTGGTTATTCAGATCTGTAAATTGCCAATAATCAAATGTTACTTTGTAATGGGAACTGACCATTTGGGAATTTTACACGAGAAAAATAATTATAGTACGATATTGTTAATATATTGAGAGTGTTCTAAGCCTAATGTATACTGATGTAAACTATAATGTATACTAATATATACTGATGTAATTACTAATAAGTTCAGTTTTAATTATTTTTTGAGTTGTTATTTATTTCAATTTTTTACCAGAGAGCAAAATAGGAAAAATAAACAAGTGACTGAATGGAGCAGGGGGGGGGGGGTGACTGCACTGGTTTGCACTTCAATGTTGAAGGCCTAAATGTCCTCATACTGTCATTCCTCCTCATCGTATATTCCAAATGAATAGTACAGACTATAGGTCCCACAATGCTCTGTCCTGATTTTGAGTCTGATAGACTCATGTAACAAAAGGTCCCAACCTATACATAACTGAACCAATTAAACCCACCAATCAAATATCAGGATGGTCATGTTTTTAAATGGAAAATAGAATGGAAAAGAGTGGAATCAGCAAGGAATAAAGTAAACAGGCATGTAGTCAGCACTCTAAATTGTAGAGAAATGCAAAAAAATCAGGCAGTTCATTCAAATTTTAGAGAGAAATTGAGTGGAATCAGCATGAGCAGAAAGGTGACATTTCTCTAACACCACATGGCCATGTCTGATATTTCATAATATACTTTAATTCCCAGTGGTACACGGCTGCAAAGCATCATTTTGATTGAGACTAAGAGGAGCAATCAGACAACAGCACATTCTCAATCAATTTCTATTTGGAGAATTTGAAAATGCATTCCATTTGGAAGGAACTGGACTTTCCATCTCTAAATTAGAGCTAGAATTTTACTGCCATGTACCAACCTGTAGTGTTCAGGGTGAAAATGTCCCACAGCCATTTAAGAATCCATTCCCATCCATGTTTGAGAATTTGGAGAATCAGAAAAATTTGGGGAATTTGAATCACCAGCTGAGTCTTGGACATTTTTTGAAACACATTATATAGGGAAGGACCATTTGGTATTGGGGGCCTAGATTTTCACCCAAAATATTCTAGACGAAAGGTTTGCGATGAGAGGTAAAAGTCCATGTGTTACATATTGTAAGGAAAGATTAATGGGGGAGGGGGGTTACTGGTATATATTTAAAAAAAGTTAAAGGTCCCTCCCCAAAAGTGGTTAAACACCTCCAAGTTGTACTCTGTAATTTCATGTAATAATATTTTTCTTTCAATATTGAATATTATGTAAACCATATTGAGAAAAGGATAAGAATAATACATGAGGGTCAAATTGCTTTAAAAGGTTTCTAGTTATGCAACAAACAAAAACAAACTTTTAAAGCCATTGCTTTCTATAAAGCTGGGGAGGGCCTGATATATTAAAAGTACAAGCCAGTTTCCTGTTTTGGATATTCATAATCTTAAGATATTTGAATTTTCACTCCACAAAGTGTAAATTGTAAGTCTTGCATAAAGCCCTTTTACCCCCCCCCTCATTCTTTTTCCCTGTCTCTGAACCCAGAGCCAAAAGGCCCAATAATGCCTAAAAGGCCTGTATATTCAAACACCTCTCTAATTTGAACACCTCTCAATGTGAAAGCTTTTTTCAGTCCAAATTTAGGCCAAATCTTTTTTATCAGTCATAGGCTTCCAATTTAAGAAACCTTGAGAAGTGAAAACCTACCATCCAAATACTTTAGGCCAGTTCCAGTAATGTTTGGATTATACAAGTTTTTCTGTAATCGACTGGACTGTGGACATTGAAAACTCCTTGAAATCAGTGCTTCAGTCAGCTTGCCATAATAAAGTAGCCAACTACAAGTGACTTATCTCTGCCATTGAAAGATAAGGCCATTGTCTAGGATTACCTGACATACAGTACATATACTATACCAGGCCCGTAGCCAGGGGGGTTTGATGGGTTCAGTACATATACTATACCAGGCCCGTAGCCAGGGGGGTTTGATGGGTTCAAGTGAACCCCCTCCGCCTGGCCAAAAAATCTTTCAAAAGCATGCAGTCTTTCACCATTCTGAGCATCTTTGGCCATTTTTGGACCAAAATTGTCACAAGTGAACCCCCCTGGAATTTTTCAAAAAGTGAACCCCCTTGGCAAATCCTGGCTACGGGTCTGATACTATACATATATGCACTAAATACTATGAGGAATATCATGCATATGCAACATGAACAATTGTAATGATTTGTCAAATCATAGATGTAACCCTCTACATCTATCATCTCATTTCAAATCTTTATACATTCTCTCCCTCTACCGAGAATTTATGGCGACCCAAACTTGAGAAGAAGGGAGCTGGGGAGGGGTTACAATTTTCTAAGGGGCCACAGGCTCTAACCCAAGAAATGATATGGTACACAAGTGGCCAAGAATCAAATTTTAATACATGTGTATATTATGAGCAGATAAAATATTCTAATATAAATGCATCGAAAGTCTTTATATGTGGAATAAAAGGATTGACAACCAGGATGTAAATATCTAAAATTTCAATCTCATAAACTTATCTGCTTATATTAAAGTATTATGTAAAATTAATAGAAATATAGATACTGGTACAACTGCATCATGATAAACCATGACATCTCATTTCTTCTCAGCCCTGGTGAAACACAAAAATGCTATGAGTATCAGAATGGTACAAATGACTTTTACATGTGAATAATAAGACTTCAAGTGAGCAGGAAACACCTCTGTGAGCAGTAAACACCTCTATAGTAAGCGATAAACACCTCTATAGTAAGCGGTAAACACCTCTACAGTAAGCAGTAAACACCTCTATAGTGAGCAGTAAATACCTCTATAGTGTGTAGTAAACTACAGTGAGCAGTAAATACCTCTATAGTGAGTAGTAAAGTACAGTGAGGAGTAAACACCTCTATAGTGAGTAGTAAACTACAATGAGCAGTAAACACCTCTATAGTGAGTAGTAAACACCTCTATAATAAACAGTAAACACCTCTATTGTGAGTAGTCAACTACAGTGAGCAGTAAACACCTCTATAGTGACCAGTAAACACCTTTTTAGTAAGCAGTAAACACTTCTTTAGTTACAATGAACATGAAACTTCTCCACTGCAAATAATAATGGAGTAGGAGCCTTGGCGTGAGGGTCTAGATGCTAAATCTAAACAATATCCAAATCACACAAATGCATTGTACCTACAACCCCAGTCATTGCATGAGAAAATATAGAAAAGGGAACAGGTTGATGAAAAAAGTAAACAGACCATCATCATTAATACAAACTACAAGGTTAATATTCTAAAAAAACATACAAACGCTTTGTGTTAAAAGATATTGAAATACATACACCAAGAGGACAAGCTGACATTTCTTTTAAATAAAATATTGACTCATTTCTTCAGTCTAATTTCTCATTGTCTGAATGATCACAAATGTAGAATTTCTAGACATTTAACACCTGTAGAGACATAATACTGTGTTGTGAAGAAAAAGTAAAAAAACAACAATATACTATAATGCACTACAAATGAAAAAGTACACTTGATAATCGATCCCTTTGCACCAAACTCAAACTGTGATTTTTTGTTAAATGAAACGCCTGATTTTTTATGTGAAACGCAAAAAAGCTGGAACTTTAGAAAACAGTAATTTTTGTATGTTTTAATACAGAATTTCATATATTGGTACCAATGGTAAATAAATTCTCCGATTAGGGAAATCAAACATTTTAGTAAAACATACAGGAGCAAACAACAACCAGAATGGAAGCGGAATAGTGGTATCAGGAGGGGAATAAAGTGAACAGACTAATGCTGTGGACACGCTCAACAAAATCTGTTGGTTTTGTCTTATTTGAAAGAGAAAGGGGTGTAATAGAGATTTTGTCGGAAGGAGTATGTTGAAAAGGTTTATATAAGTGATTGTTACATATTAAAGCTCTCAAGTGCCAATCTCTACACATTGTCAAAATCTATATACACATTGTCAAAATCTCAAGATTAAACCCATATTACGGCTCTAAATGCCCACTCTTCCTATTTCTCCGCCATTTTCATTCAACAGTTCAAAGTCTCTAGTGTTCTAGTGACACTCCTCAAGACCCCATTGAAGATTCATTCAAGCCATATAGGCTTCTATGAGCCTACTCCCCCCTTATTTCACTCCCATTTTCAATTAAACATCTGTGTAAAATCAGTTACCTTTTGTCCCACCCTCAATAATAGCACCACTGTGCCTTTAAGTACCACCCCCCCTTTATTTCTCAAAACGATCGATGATCAAACATCACTTGATTTAGAAAATAAAGGGAGGGGGTGAAGATTTGATGCAACATTAATAAATCATGATCTTCAATACTTTTTGGAAACATATGGCCTATTGTCCAATTTGATCAATCAAAATTCATCAAAAATATTTCATGAACGATAATATTTAGGATTACCTATTCTGTTTACATTGTTTGACCAACTGCCAACTCTTGCTCAATGCTTTTATTTGGGCCTTGATCAAGATATCTTATATCTTGGCAAGAAATGAATAATTATACATTGGTTTTCTGATCAGTATAGTATTTAATATCAATCAAAGGTACACTTGAATGTACAGTCTCATGCAAAATATCAAAAAATTGGCGGAAATCATTTATACTTATAAATAAAGGCATTGCATTTGACTGTATCACATTTTTCTGATCTATAGAATATAATTCAAATCTCAGTACTTGAATATTCTAAAAGTTTGCCTTTAGCTTTTTTCAACAATCTAGTTTTATGTAAGGTAAGACAGGAGTCCCTCATTAATCACAAATCCCCCCCCCCCCGCCTATACCCCAATAGCTAATTTACTAAACAGGTCAATATGACTTACCTATATTTTTAGCTCTCCACAGTGGTAATCCAATATAGTGTTCCAATTTTCAAAGTACACTCCAATATAACTCAAACTTCCTTCGAAATACTCCCTAATATGAATTGAAAACTTCTGACAGTACAAAAGGGCTCAGATATCCTCTTATAGCTTTGTGTGATCCAAGCTGATATTGTGGTAAATAGTTGAAATATCTGTCAGCAGTAGGCAGTGAGAGGCTCTCCTATAGAGTTGGTGTCTCATACAGTTTGACTCACTATAAGCCTGAAACCATAGCATGTAAATGTCTTAGGGAAATTTAAGGCTGGAATTCTGAAACAGTTGTTTAACATAAATAAACAATGATTAATATATTTATGAATCAATCTTCTAGCTATGCAGTTAAATATGAGAGAACTGAATAAATAGAACTGGTTAATCAATAAAAGCTTTACATCTTAAAAGAATACAAAATAGCAATATTAGAAATGCAGTATATAAATATATAAACTAAAGATCGACATGATTAAATATATTAAACAAAAACAAATTTATTTCTGGCACCATTATTGAAAAACACCCACCTATAAAAATGTTTCTATTTGAATGAATTTGAAATGAAACCATACATGTGTATAAGCGACCTAGATTAAGTGTAGACCTGCTGTTACATTTATTTTAGCGGTTAAAAGTTATTGTATAAATTTCATGTAATTTTTGAGTTTAATCCACTAATCCAGTCAAAGTTGACTGGTACAATGACTATGATCAAAACATTTTGGCAAAGTATAGTAAAACCGGTATAAGTATACTGGATACCTCCCCTATTGTGAACAGGGGTTTCATTAGAAAACTTGACATGCTAAAATATATGAAAACAACAGTTGAAAGAATTAGGAAAAATTATAACTTTAACATATCATTACTGACAATTTATCAGTATGAACAGAATTCTTGGGTTGATCTCAAATAAAATACTCTGTATGAGATTTGGCAATAGTGCAAAAATGAACCAGAATTATGCAATAAAATATAATAAATATATAAAACTGATGTATATCATATGTACTATGTTTAGTTTCATACAGTATATATATATAATGGGCCAAATAAAATAGGTATTTTTCACATTTCGTATGAAAATTTGAATAGAAATATTTGCAATCACGAATAATCCATCAACATTGAACTCCCCCTAAAAAAAACTAGCTCATGGAGTATTCAATTCAATATATTTTCACCACTGGTAATCCTTTGAAAGAAAGAATCATCCAGAGTTTCCAAAATCATTTGAATTTCTCCTAAAATGGATACCCTTTTCATTCATTTAAGTGAGCTTCTCTAAAGAGCTAAGAGAACCCTCTGTATTAAAGAGAACCAACAAAAGCTTTTCAGAGCTTGGATTAGAAACAAAACTCTGTGATCAGCGAAACAAATAGATGTAACAAACTGCAATACTTAACAGTAGAATGAGAAAATGAGTGTAAATTCAGATTTATTTTCTTTGGCCTAATGTTTGACACCTAATACAGAAGCATGGTCTTGTACTGCACACTATATACTAACCACAAGAACAAGTTTCACTAGACAATGTTTTAAAACAGGAAATATAGTCAAAAAGAGTGAAATCAGTGAGAAATAGAGTAAACAGGCGTGTAGTCAACACTTTAAATTATACAGAAATGAAAGAAATTCAGACAGTTCATTCAAATTTTAGAGAGAAATAACATGAAATGAAGATGATCTGTTCACAAACTTCAACATAGGCTGGTAATATGAGAGGTATGGATGAGTTCTTCAGCTGACAGTCTCTGTACATGTAAATGTTTGTGTAGATTATCCTTGGGAAATTGATTCTGATGGTCATGCCTTTTCCTCACTTTTCTCTCTAAAATTTGAATAAACTGCCTGATTTTCTGATGTTTCTATATAATTTAGAGTGTTAACAACATGCCTGTGTCAGTTATTCCTGGCTGATTACAGTCTTTTTTAGATTATTTTCAATTTTAAAATGTGCCTCCATGGCTTGTTTTGTGAGGGGTTAATCTGTGTTAAGCTGACAGCTGTTACTCATGATCTGTCTGGTGGTGTGGCTATTACACAAAGGGAAATAGGGGGAGGAGGTCAGGGTGGATAGTAGGTTGATTGGCCAGGGGTTTAGGGCCTTTAGGTCAGGGCAAATGTTGGCTGGTCAGGGGGAGGTCCTATGGTCAATGTCAGGTCAGGTAGTCAGTGAGGTTTTAAGGGGTGTGAGACAAGGCAGAGAATGACAACTTATGATTGCAATCTTTTGGAAATTGGTCAGACACCCAGAGGCATGCAAATTGTGTGAAATTATCTACTAATTAGATCATTAGATTTACCAGTGGGAATACTGGTTATATTTAGGAAAGACTATGTACTTAGAAGCAAAAAGAATTGAGAAACAAACTGAACACAACTTTAAGAATATAAAACTGGGGGGGGGGGGCAGGATATGTTAGTAAGATGAACAAATACTAAATACAGTAAAACCTGTGTATATTGAACATTGTTGGTAGGTATATTCAGTACAGAGAGGGGTATTTATACAGAAGACTGTGTGCCAGGTGTTCACTAGAGAGAGAGGTGTTCACTAAGACATGATATATTGTAGCTATAAATAATAGCTTCCTTATATCAGTATATCTGATATCATGATATTAGTATATCATTTATGTAGAGGACATGTACTGAAAATCATCATGTCTGTTTGCTTTATTTTTTGTTTCCATTAGTTTCAATTCTACTTCCAATTTAAAAATCTTCTGACTGGTAAAGAGTGTTCTATGGCCAGAAAGTTGGTCAGTAGATTATATTCAAGGCTGGCCCTAGTATTGCTAATTTTACTTGAGAAACATCTTTATTGGTACTGTTTCCAATTAACCATGGGGCTGAATCATTTGATTCATCCAAATATCCTCTCTCAAAATACATCCTCTTTTAGTACTCGGAAAACAGTTTGAACAAATGTTTTAATTTAGCCATGTTTATTTCACTCAATTTCTCTCTAAAATTTGAATAAAGTGTCTGATTTCCAACATTTCTTTACAATTAAGAGTGTAGACTACATGCCTGTTTATTTCATTCCTTGCCGATTCCCATATTTTCCACTTTATTTTGCAATTTAAAACATGATCCAATGTCACTTTCCATTTGGTCAAAGTTGTGAATAAGATGAATATGACCACCATTACATTTATTGGGGAAACAGGAATCTACCAAATGATGAGTCAAAATATTAGTCATTCTAGGATATCTTCCAGAGCCTTGAATTTTGATTTGATTATCAATTTCTGGATAGAATCAATGTAAAAGCAGCAAAGTGCAGTACTGTGCAAGATGTCAATGATTTTACCTGTAATCTGTTTCTCAATATACCAAAAGTATCATACCTGTACTATAATACCTTGAAAAATTCTCAATAATTGCAAAGGAAACAATATACTTATTTTTGAGACTTGGACAGCCAAGATTTACCTCTCTGAATTTTCTAGAATTAAATATTTTGGGTCAAACACATTATCTGACAAAGCATAAATCAATCAGCTTATGAAAACACAGATGCACAATTACTCAGATGCTAGTAGGTAGTGTTGTCGCGATGTGCCATAATCGTACATCGATGCATCGGCAATTTTCAGTAGTAAACATCGATGCACATCAGAACAGAACAAATTAATAAGAGTACGCTAGTACATCCAGGAACTTCTAGTAACGGTGAAATGAAAGTAAAGTAAATTGTTTTAGATTAATGGTTCATTTCGACTAACTAAAACAGTTTTAAAGCGAAAGAATATCAGAAAACATCAGAAAATGAAATAAGACATGAGAAAGGTAAGCGATTTGGGTCAAAATAAGATAAGAAAGGGTGATTTTTAGCAAATTAATTTTTTTTAAAAACATCGATGATTTGTTTCAGACATCGATGCATCGCCAGAATCAGCTTTGGCGATGTATATCGCGATGTATCGATTAATCGCGACAACACTACTAGTAGGTAGTTACAAGTTTCGCCACGAGGTGGCTGATTTGGTGGAAATAACGGCAGGGTTTTACAAAGTTCCCTTAAACTTGAATATTCATCAGTTTTAGTGGTTTACTTTTCATATTACCCTTATGTATCTTATAGTTATACAAATTAAAATATGTCCAGTAAAGGAAAATATTATCTGCCCAAAACAAGAAAAGATATTTCACTTTTTGTGATTTTACAACATGGGGTCTATGGGAAATCTCCCCAACCTAGAAGTCACATTTTCAAAGAAAATTAAATTTTCAAAGTTGATGAACTCTTTTCAAAACCACATTTCTAGCTTAGCTGTAGTTTTACATGTAGAGCCCAAACATGACATCTGTTTGACTGAATTTTGAATTTTTAATGATGAAAATCAAGATTATTTCTACTCGCATCTAATCTATTTGTATAAATCCATCACTGGTAAACTATGGCATTGCATTATGTGGAAAGATGCAATAAGTATCAGAATGGTATGAATTAATCAAATTCCATAGCAATGAGTTATTAATACTAATCTTGCTAATATATGTAACAACAGCTCAGTTGAAGCTTGCCAGGTTTCTGTAGCCTACAGTGTATATCCAGTAAAAGGTGCTAATTACAAATCACACCCCCTAATCTGGGCTCCCTGTACACTCTATCATAACACACTTCTAGTTACATATCATGCAATTGTATTTCTTATCTGTACTGTCTCCTGAGGTGCAGGAATTCAGTTATTTATATTTTTATAAAAAGCTATCTTTTTCCCAGTTAGAACCCCCCCCCCCCCCCGCTACGCCTATGTACATGTAAAAGTCGCGATGCTAATAATAAAGTGTGCCACATTATTGCAATTAAAGCTTTGATGGAATTTTAAATACTGCCAAATATTTTAATTGATAACATTATTAAGGGTTAAACACAATACCCTGTCACAGCCTCTCTAATTGAAGTACATAACGCAAATAATTTATTTAACCAATTTTCTTTATAATTTAAATTTTCTTTTGATGTATATTTTCATATTGAGTGTTTTAATATTCCTGTCTTTTGTCATATTTATTTTTGGAAAACAGCATTCTCATATACTTAAGCTTTCTGGGAAATCCAAAAAAGGAAGACAAGTCTAGATGATTTGAAGCAACATGTAGAGTAACAGATTGCAGAGAGTGATGAGTAAAAATACAGGGTGTCAGAGTAAAAATACAGCGTATCAGGGTAAGAAACAGGGTGTCCTTTGTAATAATAATAATAGGTGTCATAGTAAAGGAAAATTACAGGGTGCCAGAGTAAAAATACAGGGTATCAGGGTAAAAAACAGGGTGTCATTTGTAATAATAATAATATGTGTCATAGTAAAGTAAAAATACAGGGTGCCAGAGTCAAAATACAGGATGTCAGAGTAAAAATACAGGGTGAGAGTAAAAATAAAGGGTGTCACAGTAAAATACAGGGTGTCAGATTAAAAATACAGGGTGTCAGAGTATAAACTTCTGGGTGTCAGAGTAAAAATACAGGGTGTCAGAGTAAAAATACAGGGTGTCAAACTGTAATAGAAATAATACAGGGTGGCAGGGTAGAAATACAGGGTGTTCTTGGTAATAATACTGGGTGTCAAAGTAGAAATATAGGGTGTTAGATTAAAATTACAGGGTGTCAAAAAAATCCATGATGTAAGAGTAATAATACAGGATGTCAGAGTAAAAGTACAGGGTGTCAGAGTAATGATACAGGTTGTCAAGAGTAAAATACAGGGTTTCCTGGGTAATAATACTTGGTCTCAGAGTAAGGTATTTCACTCATGTCTTTAAATTTCCAATTAAGAATGGCACAGAATTTCTATGCCTAAAAAATTGCCTAACAGCCTATAAAAAATACCCTGTGTATTTTATTTATAAGTCATAATATTCTGTCGAAGCTTCTAGCTCAAAAGAACATATCATGTGAGAAGAGGAGGAAGAGGAAGAAGTAAATTACAGTAGCTCGCTCTACTAAATAAGACTACCGTCTGTATGAGTAATCAAAGGGTTAGATGGTCAACTATCACAGGCGTGGCCGCTGGTACACCTGGTACGCAAAGACATTTGAAAAGTTGTACCAGATCGTTGCAAATACACTCCAACCCCCCACACCCCCTGAATGCTTATTTTTGCTCTGCTCAACTCGTATCCCAGTGGTGGCGTACTCTCATAAAAATAGCACTATACCCATGTCGCCAATACATATTAACTCCCCAAACTAATGGTCAAATAAAATAAAATGCATTCACCAAATACGCGTAAATAAATATGTGAAAACAGAAATTTCACAAAACTTGTCAACTTCTCAACTGTCAAGTAAAAAAAAAGAATTGAAAGATTGAAAATGTCTGAGTTAGTTTCAAATGCAAATCTTGTCCTTCATACACATTGTCTTATCATAAATCTCAAACTGCTACAAACTAATATGATAACATAACTTACCAAATAAGACTGATCACCAAATACTCTTCAAACTAGACGCAAAATCACTTTCTTCCACTGGTTTCCGAAAACTTCTTTCAACTTTTATCACCCACGTGACTCGTTTGACCTGTGAACTTTGAACCCGGAAGTAACCTTGAAGCACATGACAGAAAACAACAAAAAGATGCACGAAATATGCCTCAATCATTTGCTGCATTCTAAGAGATCCTGGTAAAAACATCTTATTTATTTGAAACATTGATTAATGATACTTTAGTGCAAATTTTGCTGGAAGTTTGGATACAATTGATAGCGAAACAACTTGACAATCGATATTTAAATGAGACAGAATTTTGACTGTGAATTCTGAAGATTCAATATCATTGTACATGTACAGTACTGTACATGGCCATGGCGAAAATGGGAAAGGTAAGTACAAGCCCGTAGCCAAGATTTACCAGGGGGTGGGGGTGGGGGGGGCGTTTTACCAAAGGGGCAGCGGCCGCTCCCCCCCCCCCTTTGCTACGGGCCTGAATTAGTAGTAAGCTAAGGAAGCTTATGAGATTACTGTATTTGATTGAAGCAATGATCGAATAATGATGTTATATGTACAGTACATGTATTTGCAATTGCAGTAGAAATCTACATGTATATATACTTTACTTGCAGAATAAAATCAATAAATAAAATGCCAAAACTGACGACAAAGAAGAACAAGATGTTGGGGCATCTCTCAAGAACAGGAGCAGTCAAACAAGTGTATAGACAACTCAGGTCAAAATCTATCCCATCAACTGATAAAAGTGATGGAACCATACCCATAGCCGCCTCTGATACTCATGACACGACCAACAAAGATATCAAAGCAATTATAAACAAGCTGACAAATTTGTACTCGCAGAATGCCAACGAGAAGAACGCTATTGCACAGAAGAAGTACATGAGGAACCAGTTTGAGTTTTTTGGCCTTATGTCTCCAGAGCGAAAGCAAATTGACAAAGAGGTACGCCCTATACATGTATGTATACTTGATTCATCAGTGCCTGTTTGATTAAAGACAGTATCAGATCTATAGAGTTGACAAAAATGCAAGCAAAAAACACGTACAGTTGGCCTACCAATATATTCCTTATTTCCCAAAAGATCCGCAAAATGTTACAAATTGGTGATTCAAAGTGCAAAAATGGGAAAAACGAGTTAAAAATCTCTCAAAACAATTATTACATTACTGTAAAATTCTCTTGTTTTTCTGGAATAAAGTATGCACTTTGGTGATTTTTAGCAACAAATGATATGAGCAAAAATTGAAATACTTATTTTGTTTACCCTGCGCGCAGAGTCTAGTTATAAACTGAAGACGAAGCTCTCTTTTTATGAAGTGAAGTCGAACGAATGCAAAGGGTAAATTTTGTTTAGCCTGCTCGTTAAATCTGATTCTCTATTTAATAACATCAACAAGACCTCGAGGATACCCTGCGTGCAGAGTCTAGTTAAACTACAGACGAAGCTCTCTTTTAAGAAGTGAAGTCAAACGAATGCAAAGGGTACCTCGAGGACTACCGCTAGCTAAAAATGTCAATGGTTACAGATCATGAATCCAATTTGCATTTGTGTCCAAAACAAATATTTGTGTCATGGAAGTGACAAGGGTGAGGCAATCCCAGATGAGACATTTCAAAAAGAAGCTGGTTAGACATGTATTTTATGGATTTGATCAAACAAAGCGTCTATGAAAATTTCTAGCGTTTCATTGTGATCAGCTGTACATTTGCCCTTTTAAAAGAACTCATGCATTCAATAAACTGCATGCGGCGATATCAAATCATTCTTTTATCCTTTTTGTATTTTTTATTCCTATTTTAGGTTTTACAATGTTCTCCGAAACTTTCGTTAAAGGATACAAGAGAACTACTATTGTCGTTATGGCAACAAGACCAGAGAGAATTCCAGCAATTTGCCTTGACGTATGCAACCAAGTATAAAGAACGTCTGTGTGGGGAGACAATAAACGACTGTTTGGAATCGTTAGAATGTATTAAAAAACTTATAACTACTAAAAGCTGGTGGGACACCATAGACATGCTTTGCCCAAAAGGTATAGTTTTAGAAATACATGTTTATGTATTTATCATTTCACCTTTTTTCAAGGATACAGATATTGTTCTATTGATATTTCACGAGTATATAAAAATCATATCATCTGATTGGTAATATGAGTTTGTAGTCTTTTCAACTTTATTTTACAATCGTGCAATGGACCGCCATCATGCTGCCTTACCTTCTTATACGTTAAGCGACGCATGAGATGGACCGCTCTCATATCCCGGTTGAGATTTTCCATCCTCTGGTCCCTTCAAGATCTAAAATCTTCTTACTCTTTCCCCTGTGATAAGCAGCGGGGGGGGGGGCAACAAAGAGGTACGAATGCTAGACACCTGTTTTAAAGGAAGATGAGATTTTCTTGATCAATTAACATGTTGTAACTGAAAACAGTTGTAGGACACTTTATACTGAAACATAGGGCTGAGCTGTCCCCGGTAATGGATGAATGGATCATGTCGGACAATATGTGGCTTCGGAGGTGCGCTATATATCATCAATTGTATTATAAAGAAAACACTAACCAGGACCAGTTATTCAGGTATATCCTCCTATTTGTATTGATAGCACTTGTTCACCAATAGTATTTGGTGGACATGTACCTTCTCTGCCAACCCCAGTCTCTTTAAATATGATGCGGATGGTCTCTATGAATCATTTAGAGCCCGCCACAATAAGTAAAGCCCACTAGGTTTAATGGGTCGAAGTAGAGAAGGGGTCGCTGCAACCCGTAGGGACCCTCTTGCAACGGACATGCTAACGTAACTGTTAAACAATAGTTGGTCCATGTACCTTGGTATATTGATAGATTTAAAGGAAATCACAAATCCCAAGTAAATGGAATGCTCTTTCAGTTTAAAGTCCACTGGGGCTATAATGAATGGGTGCAAATACATACCGGTAAGTAATTTGCAGCCATACAAACGTTGATTATTTTGACAAACTGCGTATTTCTTTAATTTATTAATATTTCTCATTGCAGGTATTGTAAGGCCTGCGCTCACGAGAAGGACTTCTTCATTAGAAAGGTTATTGGATGGTCCCTCAGATCCTACTTCAGAACAGACCCAGACGCTGTGAAGACATTTGTAAAAGACAATGAAATAATTCTTTCGACGTTGAGTAAGCGAGAAGCATTGAAGCATGCCTAAGACCGACACCAGACCATGGTCATTTTAATTTGACTCCGAATGTAATCAAGATTCGTCTTCGACTTTTATGATCAAAGATGGAAAAAATTGAAAATAATTAATTTTGTATATGCAACTTCTATATTTTAAAAATAGTTTTTCAATAACGCTTTGTCAAAAAAAATTAATTTGTTTCTGCATCTTCCTTTAAGTGCTATAGTAACAGAAATCACACGCGCCAAACAAAGTGTCCATCCTGAAATTTTAAACCCGGCGAGTAAGAAAATAGTTCTGAGAATTTGGAACGCATTTGACATGTTTATTGCTATTGAAAGGTTCGACACATTTATTATAAAAGCGCCAGGTTGGGACATGATTTGTTCAGAGCACTTAAATAAAGGTGGCAGGTCGGTTTTAAGCGTAGTGATTGATGCAGAGTTAATTCCCGCGAGTTTTAAACTTGGCGTACTGTTACCAATCTTTAAAGGTGGCAATAAAGATCAGCTTAACAAAGACCATCATCGTGGAATCACCTTAATGACAACATATATGAAGATGTTAGATCGTTTAATGCTGATGAGAAGTGAAAACTGCCCTCTGCTTGAGAAAAAGTCACCAATGCAAGGAGTAGGACTTGAGAAATGCTCAAGCCTCCATACGTCATTGCTTACACGAGAGACTATTGCTCACGGACTCGAACAGGGTAATGACGTCATAGTGACGTCATTAGACATCAGGAAGGCATTCGACAGTGTTTGGCACAATGGCCTCATGTATAAGCTATACCAACAAGGCATCAACGGAAAACTGTGGTGACTTATCAAAATGGCATATGATGGATACGAATGTGCTGTTAAAGTGTCTCATGAAGCCCCACTTTCAGATCCGTTCACTGTAGGAAAGGGGGTCCACCAGGGAGGAATCTCATCTATGAATTACTACGCAAGATATACGAACGATTTACTTAATCAGATTGAGAATAGTAAGATAGGATGTACCGTCAGTTGTGTTCAAACAACTTGCCCCACATACGCTGATGATACTATACTTATAGCATATCATGCAACTTCAATGCAACGTATCCTGGATATTATATATGATTATAGTGTTAAGTGGCGTTTCCAATTCCACCCTGACAAATGTAAGTCGTTAATATTCAGTAACCATAGAAACGCGCCCAAACCATTTCTCACACTTGGAGGAAAACAGATTGAGGTTCTAGACTCGCTTCAACACGTTGGTTTACCGTTATGTCACAAGCCGAGCCCAGAATTCATTGATGGTGCGATTTCAAAAGGCAGACGGACAATGGCAGCATATATTGGAGTAACATCATCGTGTAACAACCCTACCAATCCACTCACTGCTTCTAGACTATATTGGTCCATATGTGTTCCGTCAATGACCTATGGGTTTGAACTTTTATCGTTGAGTGAGTCTGACTTAACAAAACTTGAAGCAGGGCACAGATCTATCTCGAAGCGACTGCAAGGATTGCCTGATAATACACCGACACCAGCCTGAACATCCTCCATTGGATGGCAGTCCTTACCAGCTAAAGTGGTAATTAGCAAGCTAATGCCCCTGTGGCAACTATGAACATTACCTATGTCTAATGTCTACAAGAAAATAACTGTAATAAGACTTATATTTGCACAATACTTTACTCTCCATAGCCTTTCACCGTTAGGCGATTGTCTAAAAGTAGCAAAAGCTTATAGATTAGATGAGGCAATATATGGAATCCTAAATGGGGAAAGTGTGAGTAAATCCAGCTGGAAACGACAAGTAAAATTTGCGATAGAAGAATATGAAACCAACAAATGGAGACTGAACTGCTTAGCTTATGAAAACCTCACATTATTTAAAACAGTGCATCAATTCATTAAACCACTTATTTGGTGGCAATTGGCAAAAAAGGATCCAGGGACTCTCCGGAACTGCAGATTAATGGTAATATTGTTAACTGGAGGTGGAGCTCTTATGACAAATGTTAAAAGGTGGTCGGGTGGTCTGGAATCAGATCTATGCATGGTATGCAAATTGGCTCCAGAAACGTTACAGCATTTAATTCTTGATTGTTCAGGACATGTTAATGAGCGCATAGAAATATTAAATATCTGTAAAAAGTTATTTCCGAATCAACCCCTCCCCCCTAGTAGTGTATTGTTGCCAATTATATTTGGCGCGGATTCGATACTTTGTGATGTAGAATATGATATTATATGTAAATCTGTATATAAAATGTATCTAAATAGGCCTAAAAACAGGTATTTTACATAGTAACTATAAGGCTTAAGCGGTAATCACCAATTGATGATATTATAATTGAATGTGTTTTCCCCTACTTAACCTGTATAGCTTAGTTTTATTTTCTATGATTTTATTATAACTTATATGTATACACATCATTATTGGTGGATAAAATAAACATAAATAAATAAAAACAGCTATATGATTTATATTCCAGTAGTTGAAATTGAGCGTGTTCTTCTTCGCTTTCGGACATTAGTATGATACTAGTACTACTTTATTACCTTGAAGTACACATCATACTTATGTCCGATCATAAGTTCGAATAATAGTTGTGTTTCAAATAGACGTACACGAGACCAATGTTAAGGCTACCAGGGAGAATCGGACCTGGAGGCCTTACTATTTATACAAGTTTTTTCTGTTTTGAAAAATTCGATATGTGATGTATATTTTTTAGTTTTTCAAAGTAATCTACAAATATTTCGTTGCAGTTTTATCTTTTATCGTTATTTCAATCACCGTCATCACTATTCAAACGAGTTACTTTGAAATATCAAGACGTCGTGCTATTCTCATTCTTATAGAACTCAATGTGACTGTCATTCACCATTTATAAAGCAGTAAAAAATTAATTTGCTTCATGGGTGGCAACATTTTTCTAATTTCCCGGTGAATGTCGAGTCTGGTATCATACGAATGTAATTTTAGGCGATCTGTCTGCATGGGGTGTAACTTTTAACTATGCACGTAGTCATAATTAAGACTAGACGATCTCGCCCTCTATACATTGGCTCTGAATAAAATTTCTCTCGGGTTAAAACGTTCTTTGTAAGACCAGTGATGGTGTTCAGTATATTGAGGCAAAGATATGTTTAAAAAAGTGTCAACGTGTCTCCTTGAATACTATATTGTGGTGTGGAAGGAACTAATGTATTCAGATTTTTTCATCCGAGGAATTTCCCCTTTTGATATTTTTCTGTTGTCCCTTTCAAATGCTTCCTCTTCCCGTCTGTAATGCAGGGGGTGGAAACGCGTAGAGTAGTTTTGTTCGAAAGGCATGTAGATGTAGTTTCATTTGGTTTTATGTTTTCTGTGAACGTTTCGTATTGTGTTTGCTCTCCTGCCAATACGCTCATCACATTCTCATTACTTTGGGGAACCATTCCCTCGTTATTTAGTGACAGTCACCCATCTAGTTTTTATAAATTTTGGGGTTAAATAAAGAAATATTTTTATTTTGAACAAAAAATCCTTGATTAACCTTACATGAGTGAATACCGAATGTTTACACTACATGTTTGACTACCGAATGTTTACCCTACATGTTTGACTACCAAATGTTTACCCTACATGTGTGACTACCGAATTTTTACCTGATGTTTTTGGAATGTGATGAGCCTATTGACAGATGAGAAAATATTAAAAATATATGTCCACACACCTATTTAATTTTTGAATAAAGATGACAATTTTTGTAATGTATTTCCTGGACCAGCTCCTTGAAAATAGAACAAAGAAAAAACAAACAAAATACTGTTGATATGGTTATATCAGTGACGTTATTCATGAAATTATTTTCAATTATTACGTCACAGAAAGATGACAATACATTCATCTTAAAAGATTGATGATGTCATATGAAGCACCATGGTTATCAATAAATATTGTCCGTAATTAAAATTGCTATGGTTATATCGATAGTACGTCATCATGACCATCAATGCTTACACAACAATAGTAGTCATGGATATCATTGTTTTGATTGTCAAAGTGGTTACTAAAATCGAAACAGTTTCAAACCTCAACAAAACGGACACAGGGACGGACGTACATTTTCTAGCTGACATCATATTCCGCAAAATGAATCCATTCGTCTTTGATTTGGTTCCCGAGGAGTTTGGTGCCATAACAGCGAAAGGTACAAACAATATGGTGCATACGATTGGAAAAGGCTTTTCGACCTTGAGACGTAAATGCAAAAAACCAAAGGCTTCTATAAAGGGACGTTCAAAGGATGAGGAAGAGGACGGAAAAGTTAACCTCAAATCCGTTATGTCTGAAAGCGACGTCGAATATGACGACATTCTTACTCCACGGGAACAATGGGAACCCTCTATCGATAAGAATACCAGTACAGTCGACACTGAAGTGCGGTTTCATGAAGTAATGAACACAGATGACACTCTGAAAATATTCGATTATGATTCAAATGGCGCACTGAGAGGTATTGAGATGCAAAACATAAACAATGATTATTTGTCTGAAGCAGTAACAGATGAAATGGTAAAGATCTTTAACTACGATGAAGATGGTTTAAAAAAACAAACAACATATGTTCCCCTCGGGAACGATACACTGTATGTACCAAATCAACTCTACCACGATGACAATACGACGATATCTCCACACCAGCCAACAGAAATATTTACGATCAAAAGTGACATTAGAAATGCATTTAGTCGTTTAATTCGACCGTCTTCTAGTTCCAGAGGAACACTCAGCAAATATTCTGAAACTTCAGATACAAGCCATACTTCCCAGGAAAACAGAAATTCACCATCGAGGGCAGGGCTGGAGCCAAAATCGCCACCAATTAAAAAGTCGATGCGAATAGGTCGCAAGTCCAATAAAATAGGGATAGCACCACATGATGATAACACGATACAAGGTCCAATTTCGTTAAAGCACAAACGATCCGGTAAGCATATATCAAGATTCAACTTGAAGCGATTCTCAACACTATTAAAGAAACATAAGCCGCCGACACTTGATTTAGAAGAACCTGTGACATACACAAAATATATACCCGTATATGGGGAAGGGGCACGCCCTGCAAGAAGCGACGTCGCTGACATTTCGAGAAATGTCTACTTAGATATTAATGCATTGTTTATCAAAACACGAATTGCTGACAAAGCAGATATCAAGCTTCACATGATCGAAAACATGAGACCTTCAAAAAGTGAAAGCGTCCTAAGCAAAGAAACCAAACTAGGGAGTGAACCCCTACGTCCAACACCAAGTCATGACAATATAGATTGCGCCATGAGTTCAGCGCGCGTTGCGCAACAATGGGTTTGGAGAAAGGCTCAACATGAAATTCCTAACATCCTAGACCCTAGATACGAAGACGTGAATAATATAGCATATTGCAAGGTTGCAGCAATGCATAACCCTAAGTTCGAGGTTAAACTTTTGGTTAAGACACGTGATGTTGATTTCGAAACAGGATTATCCCAGCACCACAAAACTCTTGTACTGACGGCAACACTTCGAGCATTCTTCTTCCCATCAACCTCAATAAGCATACGCTGGGTTCATGATATACAAGATGCAATAGAAGAACTCGTTTCAGATGACTTCATTCAGAAATTTGCCGGGTCGTACGGAGTTTGGCAGTACAGCGCTGTACTTGCTTTATCAAACAGCGCAGGGGTGTTAGTTCGGCACCCATCTTTGGCATTTTTAAGGAGCATCACATCCATTCTTGGAATATCTATGGGAAGGTTACTCATTTTGGCTAAACCTGGCCCAATTGAGTTCTATCGCAAAGACTTTGTGGAACATCGTGTAGATGCTATAACTCCCCCGGTTGATGATGGTCGTGAGAAATACGCCCATGAGTACGAATATTGATCGAATAATACGAGAGACTGAGCTTTGTTTTTTAAGAGTAGAAACATATTAATTAACGCTTTTTTAATTTTGTTTCAACCTTTAGCCCTAAAATCAGTGATTCTGGTACTGATTTGGTTGAAAACTTTTCTGACCCGAATGTTAAATACCGTACGTAAGTTATTGACTACCTTTATGTTCTTAAGTTGTGTAACATTTAACCCAGGCCGGCTGACTGTTTTGCCGGAGATGAGTCAGTGCTTTATCATGTATTGAGTGTAGGAGGATCGCTGTATAACGAGGATACATCGTTTAGTGTTTACTGACCCGTTGTAAGATCATCATGCGAAATCAGGGAGTTGTTGTTACATAATTATGCAGAAGCAATCCATTTCACTGGTGATCCACTCGATTACGGTGGTTACCGAAACGGTTCGTTTCGGTAACAAAATGTCGGAACATCGAAGGTACGATTTTTATTTTTTCCTTATTTCACACGTTGTAGGCAGAATTCCCACGACATTTTTAACACAAACGTGTATCAGTATATATCAAATGTTTAAGTGTTACGTTTAAAAATAACAGAAAGTAAAAACAGTAATTAAAATATAACAATGTACATGCATATACTGTAACTGATCTTTATTAGAGATCTTAGGTCAAGGTCACAATGACATTATATATTTTGTAAACAAAACTGAACTGAATGACTCACTAACCTTTGGCCTTCTAGAAAGTACTGGAACTATAATCATTTAGGTTAATCATGTGACTTCACATGTCCAATCAGGTTGTTTTCTAGAAATCGTAACATTCTGGAAACGTCTGGACTTTGCCTTTGTACTATATAAGAGAGCTGATTTGAGCAAGGGCGTTACAATACCCGGGAATTTATCGGTTCGTGCAGTACTTGTTTGTGATAGCGCCCTCTGTAGGTCACTGTGCCTATAGCCTACAGTAATACGGGGTAGGATATCGGGAATACGGTCAGTTTCTATCCGTCAATTTCGCTATGAATTGAAGCAGGTGTGACCACTTTATCCACTTAAACAATTTGATAATTGATTAAATCTTTAAACAAAATCGATAAACACGTTATACACTTCCTATCTCCTTAGAAATTAGCATGTATTTATGGATTGTGTTTTCGAACAAGGCTCGACCCATACCAATAGGGAAATCCTTATGCTAATTAGTATGACGTCATATTTTCCTGGGGAATCCTAGATTTCAAAGCCTCAGTCTGTTATTGTGTCAAATGTAAACGCTCTTTTGCAGACAGAAAATTGACAGATTAGCTTTTAACTTTCAGCTTTGATGTTTAAATATTCTGTATTTCTACCGGACTTCTTGCTGAATATCATATAATGTTATAACTTGATTTGGACCATTGCCTGTTTGATCATTCTGAAATTTTGATTGTGATTCATGATTGATTGGCAAGAAAAATAATTCCTATTGTTTTCCAGCGAAGTCAAAATGTTACAGCGAGTTATAATGTCGAGTTTGCATCATGTTAAATTCTGCTAGTGATTAGAAGTCCATGCACAAGCATACACATAAGAGACAAACACACCCAGGCTCCAGGCCGTGGATGGAAATATAAAACTATTTAAGGCACAAACTGGTATTAATAGACCGATATGTAGTGTCTGCCATGTATTGAAGGTAAACCAATCTGCATTATTAATGTTTCTTCTATCAATACATGGATTGTGCAATGGAAAAGCAATGGCACAATCAAAAATGTGCATATCAATCGTGAATATCTCTCGGTTCAAAGCTTATTTCCAACAGAATCGTGTCAAAATATGTGTCTGAGTAACAGTTATACATTATAAGATCGCAAACTCTTACCAATTATCAGCCGAATGGCTCATTTTGAACGAAATGTCCTTAAGACAACAGCCCTGGGTCGCGCCTGAGACCAAAAACTATTTCAAATAGCCCTCCCCTAATTATATTGGATAATCACATTTATGCGTGCGCGCGCAGCTCATCCACTGAACGAAACGCCACTTCCCGCTGAAATCACCGGGTATTGATCTTTCCCTTGATTTGAGCTGAGCTGGCAGCAGAAAAATTAAGTCATTCAAACAGGGCACCTACTCTGGGAACATTTATAACGCTACAAACATGCAACTTGAGTATTTTATATGGACATACACTCCCCTCCATAAGTTTGGCAACCTTTTTTCCCCATTGAACTACGTGTTAAAGCCTCTTTACCTTTGAATTTTTATTTACTTAACCTGCGATGAAAATACTTATACTATTGATTGAAACGTAATTTGACTTTAATTCCAATACCTCAAAATTTTCTCAATTTTTTTCCTCAATTACAATAGGTCGAAAATTGATGATAAACTTGATGAAATTTTGAAAATCGTCATTCCCATGTTAACCAATGGGAAATGGTAGGTTTGCCGCAAGTCATATGACAGAATATCCATCCATCCGAGTCCTTGCAAAAAATACATGTTAGGCAGGCAATTGAATTTGCTAACTTTATTTAACAAAAAATTGATATGTTTCTTCAGGTTCAACAAAGTTATAGGGCTTTAAAGTCAAAATTGTTTTTCAAAAAACCTCTCCCATTGAAATAACACAGGAGGCGAAAAATTATTTTCAAAAATGACTTTGAAGCGCTGTAACTTTAATATTCATCAAATAAACTAAACACTTAGTGTTCAAAAAAGTTAGACAATTCAATTTTCTATATAAAAATATTTTTTGCTGAATCTTTTACTGAAAAGATATCCTGATTTCTGATTTGCCCCGAACCCTCCATTTCCCATTGGATTACATGGGAATGACGATTTTCAAAAATTCATCAAATTTATCATCAGTTTCCGACCTATTGTAATTGAGGAAAAAAATTGAGAAAATTTAGAGGTATTGGAAATAAAGTCAAGTTACGTTTCCATCAATATTATAAGTTTTTTCATCGCCGGTTAAGTAAATAAAAATTCAAACGTAAAGAGGCTTTAACACATAGTTCAATGGGGAAAAAAGGTTGCCAAACTTATGGAGGGGAGTGTATATAATTGCAACATACACTCTATACGGGTTATCATAAACATTTGTGGATTATCATGAACATTTGTGGATAATCATTAAACATTTGTGGATTATCATCAAATATTATTGGATACAAACATTATATGATTACGACGAACATTATTGGATTATTACAAACATTGGAGAACTATTAACGATTATTGAAACGTTGTCTTGAACATTCTCAAGGATCATCAAGGATATTTATCGACATCAAGAGAGACATGCATTTCAATTAAGTATTTATAGGATATCCTATGATTTTGAGGAATATCATTTTTATCTACGAGGTGATATTGATATCTGCACGAGAGAGCGAAGCGAGCGAGTGCATATATCAATATCACCGAGTAGATTAAAATGGTATTCTGAAAAAATCATAGGATGTTCTTATTATCCTACACTTACAAGGAGTGTACTGAATGTATAATATAATTGTAAAATGAATTTCATGCCAAATAGAGTCAATTTGGCGGGAAATCAACAAGCGGAGTATATCGTCACAATATCCTCCGCATATTGGGTTTTCCGGAGTATATCGTCACGATATCCTCCGCCCGGAGTATATCGTTACGATATCCTCCGGATATTCATTTTGCCAATAAATATCAAGTTTATTTTTTCATGTTATTATACATTTAGTACACTAAGTGTAGGATAATACAATTTATCCCATAGTTGAGGTCAAATCTGTAGAATAACACGTATATATATTTATGATATTTTGCAAATGCGTGGAAAAAGCGATATCTGTGGAATACGGAGAATATTCCACAGATATCACTTTTTCAACGGATTTGAAAACTCCCGCCAATGTGACGTGTACTGTTACATGGTTACACGTTATTTGCTTACATGGTGATTTCACGATGTCACAAATATGGAAATGATTAATGTTTTTGCAATAGTTCAAATGACAAAATAAAACTCAATGTTGTTGTGAAATGCTTTGTAAGGTGAACTGTGGGATGATTTTATGTCAGCTATGGGATAAATAAATAGAACATCCTATGATTTTTTTCGTGATATCATTTTAATCCACTTTTTCATATCAATATCTGCACTCACTCGCTACGCTCACTCGTCCAGATATTGATATCTATTACGCGGTAAACACGATACAAAAATATGTCATATTTCGCAACGAATATTGCATATTCACTTGCGGTGTATGACAGATTCACCTGCGGTATATGGCATACACATTAACCAATGAGAACATGATTCGGAAGTACTTAATTGTCAATTGCATCGATTGAACGAACAAGTAAAACGTTATGAATTATTATAATGGTTGCTGAATCAACGTTAACAATACTGTGTATCGAATATATTAACTTATCAGAAGTTTCAGTCACCGATCTCGCGTAATAAACTTACTCAATCAATCCAGGATTAACATATTAGTATTCGACGCACTAAAATCCCTTGCAACATCAAAGCTTGTTTACAATTTTACAGTCATGGAAATTGACGAGTCAATTATCAAACAAATAGAAAAAATGTTTTTTGATTTTCTTTGGAATGGCAAGGATAAGGTAAAAAGAAAGTCAGTAATTGGAGCAATAGAAGACGGGGGGTTAAATGTTGTAGATGTTAAACTTAAAATACAAAGCCTGCAGTGTGGGTGGATTAGTAGATTATTAACAAGCAAAACATCATGGAGATTATTTCCTTTACACTTGATAAAGAAAACAGGTCTTAAAGTAGAAACACTTTTGAACTGTAATTTTGATAAACAATCAATAAATGATCTGAACATATTTACTCCTTTTTATAAGGAAATACTTTGCTCATTTAACACTTGTAAAACTTATGTAACAAATGACAAAATGAAAAATGACGATATATTCAGGGAAGTGTTATGGTTGAACAAACGATTTTTAAATGGAAGAAGTGTTTTATTTTATAAAAACTGGATTCAGTCTGGTTTTGTTTACGTAGGAGATTTCTTTAATCCAAATGGCTCTTTTAAAAGTAGCCAAACTTTTATTCAAGCATTGCAAAGAAAAAAGAACTGGATGATAGAGTTGTATATTCTCAAAAGAACCATCATGAGTGTTTGTTCAAATGTTGATAAAAATATTTTACCTTTTATCAATATAAGGGATAAAACTAAATTTTTATTAGAAAACCACTTTGTTGAATTAGACGGTAAAAAAGCAAAATTTTTCTACAGCATCCTGCGAAATCTTAAATTTGAAAGAAATATTCAAGAGACTCACTGGAATGCTTGTTTTAATATTATAGAACAACACCTTTGGAAAAATATATATGATCAAAAATTAATAAATATGAGCTATACATATTTTTCAGAGTTTAATTTTAAACTCTTAAACAACTTATTGGCATGTGGATCTCTTGTATCAAAATGGAATAACAAAGTCTCAAAAAATTGTTTAATATGTAATCAATTGCACAATATTAAGCACATGATATTTGAATGCCATAAGGTTAAACCCTTGTGGAATAAAATTGGAAGAGTGTTAAAATGTGATATTCAATATAAACATATTGTAATTGGTTATCCATTCGGAAACACTATAACTAAATATAGAAACATAATTTTAACAATTGCAGGATTGACTATATACAATAACTGGTGTAAATATTCGGAAGAAAAAGAAAACTGGAAGATTTTCGACATAACAAATGCATTTATCAAAAATGCGTTTTATTATTCTCAAATCTTTAATATGACAAAAGATGTAATACTATCAAAATGGATAACCAAATGTGTATTAGAAATGTAATTGACTTTGTATGAATGTATCATTACGTCTCTTTTTGTTTATATTTTATGCATTACATTATTTGTAATCATTAATGTATGAATGTACCAAAATAGGAAAAAAAAAAAAAAAAAAAAAAAAAACTGAAAATGAAAACTTAAAAAAAAAAAAAAAAAAAAAAAAAAAAAAAAAAGTATTCGACGCACTAACTTAATTGGTAATCCAGCTTAGTTTTACATTTAGATTCGATTCTCGCAACCGATGAAATCAAGGCTTTCTGTATCACGTTTTCACCTGCGGTATATCTCATATTCACCTGCAGTATATGGCATATTCCGCAAGTGAGTATGACATACTCCGCAGGTGAGTATCGGGTACTCACTGAAATCAATGTATCGCATATTCACTGCGGAATATCGCATACTCACCTGCGGAATATGCCATATACCGCAGGTGAGTATGGCATATTCACCCGTATCACAAATACCGCGCAACCATGAATGTATGCCATATACCGCGTAACAATATCAACTCGTGGATAAAAATGATATCTCTCAAAATCATAGGATATCCTATACATATTTTATATATTATTGTTATCTCATTTAGTTTCACAAAATATAGTACTATACTGTACATTGTTATACTTTGATTGCTGTTTTTACTCTCTGTTATTATTGAACGTAACATGACCTATTAGACTGATGAAAGAAATAACAACTCTGATTTATTTCAGGTTTTATTGTTCATATTTGAAGAGCCATTTTAATGAAATATCAAATAAATATATCGCGCATATTACATTGAATCATCGATGTAAATTGTCTTATCGTATTAACACGTATACTCACAAGGCGCAAAATGAATCCTCATTATGGTGTTAACTTTGTCATGTTAATTAGCTTAGGTAAGTCACCAACATATTATTTTGATTACGGGTCAAAAGCTGGACCGGTACGGGTTAACGGTTTTATTTGAATCATCGATGTAAATTGTCTTATCGTATTAACACGTATATTCACAAGGCGCAAAATGTATCCTCATTATGGTGTTAAAATATTATTATGATTTACTATTGTATATAAAGATTATTTTCTATTATCACTGAAATAACAAGCTTAGGTCACAATATAAATGAATGGAGAGTAGGACCATAATTTGATAGGACCTCCTACCCTTTTACACCGGACAGGTTCAATGATGCAGTCATGTTTTACTCTATATTTGCAATGGAAAAACCATTCTTATGACAGAGTAAGACTTATTCAGGAGACAATTTCCAACATGGAAATTGAATATTTTATGATTTTGTTAGGCTTTTTTAAAAAACACTTCACTGTCAATAAAATCTTTATAATAAATAAATCATTATAAATAAATAAATTATAAATCAATAAATCAATAAATATCAATAAATCATTATAAAATGCGGATTTTTGCTTGAACAATTGAACTTTTGACGTCATTTCAAATAATGGTTTAAAGCTATTGAATTTTCGGCCGCCTAAAATCGTTTCTATCGTGTCATCCTCAATGACGATGACGATCAAAATTCCTTTAAGCAGAATAAGCGTTTTAGCAGAATACGTGTGATTTCATACACGGTTCATTCGAGTTTGCACACTCCGTATGAGGAAACTCACTATGTGTATATTTGGGAATGCATTTTTTAATTACATCAAATACAGCACCCGAGTTGAACAGATCTTTATACAACTTACACGAACGTTTTTGCTCTCTAAAACCAAGATGTTAAAATCACAAAGCTGTCACACTAGCTGTGTAGGCTCACCGTTCGCCACAGTGTGGCTAATTATGGCCACACGGCGCTGTACGGTATGGCCACATGGTGTGTAGTATCCCGCCTGTTTAAAACGTTGAGGGAACGTTGCCGGCCATCCACATGTACACCCGGCCAATTTTTTGAGCATGCTCAAAACTTTCGTCGTTTGTGTAACGTTTGGATGTGAACGGCGATAGCGGTATGGGGATGGAATAAGGGCGGTGTTGCCGTTAAGAACACGTTCGTATGACGGTTATGGGAATGTGGTGGACGTTGACTCGTTCAGCGAGTCAGTGATTGTGAACTTGTGCTTTCCACTTGGATACTGTCTGCTGAACCATGGCAAGTTATTGGAATGACCTATTTCTCTCGCCGGGCGTTCGAAATGTTAGAGCGAACGGGTTTACACCGCCTAGCCGCGTAACTCCTACTAGGTAACAGTCCATTAACGTGTTGACGGTCTAATAACGTTTCTAGAACATCCTCTTACCATCCTATTACCGTGAACTCGCAATTGTACCGTTTCATGACGCAGTGTCGTGTCGTCACGTCTTCTGCCGTTTCTACAATTTCGCCTTCATTTTAGTAAAATATATAAGGATGTCAAAGACCCGTCGGCTGTCTTTCAGTTAACACGAGATGTCTCGTATCAATTTCCCGACCTTCTCCTATTTAACTCGGTGTACGTAATGGTCATGGAGACACTCAACCGAGTTCGACAGATACAGTATCCTTTGAAGACAGAAAAAGTTGCACATATATTTGTTGTTTTCATACATGAAAAAGTGACTAAATTGCAAAAACTAAATAAAGCTCAAATGGAAGTGAAAATAAACGTGCAGTTGGCATCAAGAGCCAAACTTTGAACTATCAACTGTTTTATGCTGTTTCATTTTTACGTAATCTTCCATCTAAAAGTTGTGAAAACTTTATTACTCATTAACACGACCAGTAATAAAAAAAATGAATAGGATGTCGGAAGAGCCGATTTCTCCTAAGAAATTCAATAAAATATAAATGTTGACGCTATTATTACAAAACATATGTCGTTGCCGTTTTAACAAACGTTATAAAAATCATCTAAAACTGCAATTAACACGGTCGTATTTGAAATTTTGTTCGAAATGAAATAAGAATTGGTATAATTATTAGTGATTCAATGTTGTATTTAGTAGTTCAATATATTGACTAATTCAATTCCAATTTGAGTACGGTTCAATTCGAATCCCCCATTTCAATGAGGAAAATTATTTCTAAACTATGGAGGGGATTAAAGGTTACGTCTAGACCGTCCGATCCTGGGTAAAATGTAGTATTAAGCCAAATAGTTTTACCCTCACACTAATAATAATTTCAAAAACATCCTAAAAACGTCAAACGTGATATGCATGATCGTATAAAATACAAATAGTGCATGTTTGTCCTCCAAAGATGTTTTAACTGCATGAACATAATAAAATTAGAACATCTGAATTAATACTGCCAACGATTATGTAATGTATTGCCATTAAGGTAAATGATTACATGATAACTATCACATTTATTGTCAGGATAACTTTTCCCTTCTGATGTAATGCTCAGATCACAGAATATACCTCATGTTTCAGGTGAAACAGAAAGATGCCATGAGTGTCAGAATGACTGCGTGCGTGATTGGAAATACGTTATTAAGAAAATCGATGCGAATTTCGCATATTATGATGCGAGTTTCCAATAATCTAATTCGAGTGTCGCATCATATCGTGCGATTTTTCACATGGATTGAGCATTTTCTAATATTGATACAAGATAAATTCTTGTGTAAATAATTATCTTTCATTTGAAATATTTATTATCTAGATGGTTGTAAATACTTGTAACTGCATGCAATGTGATTACTCTCTCAAGCATACGTTTTGGTAAATAAGGATATGCAATTAACAATAAACGATATAATCGTCATTGAATTATAAATTATATTTAGGTTTGACACTAGCTCAACAGTGCAAGAAAAAAGACATAGTAAAATTGGAAACCAAAATTGTTAAATTGTGCGCTGCAGTTAAAGATGAAGTACATAAACTTGATAACAAAATAACTGATCTTTTGGAGCGGTTAGAAGCTACGCCCACTGTAAACACTGGTATGTGACATCAGCACCACCCTTATTTTTAAGCTCACTTGAGAATTTATAAAGTGTAACTTATATAATCTATATACAGGGTGTCCCGAAAGTATGGGGCCCCCCTAGGCAGACATATTCCAGTGTCCTCATAGTATGTGTCATATATCATTTTAAAGCTTATCCAAAGTTACATTGATTTGACAAGTATCATGGTTTAACTCCCAAATGGGAAAAAGTTACAGTAATTTTTAAAGTTAGTGTTTTGTCAAAATAAAGTTCAATTTTACACCACATTACTAGGCAATGTGTCCCCCCTTGGCCATGTTAACAGCAGCAATTATTTTCAGATATGACCTTCAAAGCCCTTCTAATAGGGATGTGGAATTTTATAACCCTCTTAAAACCTGTTAAGGGACTTAAGAAGAGTTTCCTTAGAGTTTCTACCCTCACCGTTCTCTTTTTCTAACTCAATATCCCTCTGACCCGAAAAGAATTGCTGCTGTTACGATGGCCCGGAAGGACACATTGACTAGTGATTTTGTGTAATATTGAACTTAATTTTGACCAAACACTAAATTTTGAAATGCCTGTAATTTTTTCACATTTGAGAGTTGAACCATGATACTTGGCGAATCATTGTAACTTTGGATAAGCTTTAAAATGATATATGACACATACTATGACGACACTGGTATATGTCTGCCTAGGGGGGGGGGCCCATACTTTCGGGACACCCTGTATATCATATATATGTAACAGTAAATATGTGACACAGGGGCGGATCCGGGAACCAACAAGGGGGGGGGGGGGCCCAAATTTCCGGTCAGAGAAAAAACTTTGGGCACCTAAAACCCAAAAGTGGGCCCAAATTTTGAAATTTTGAGGCCCATTTTCTTCAAATTTTTTTGGGCCCAGACCCCCCCCCCCCTAATCCGCCAGTGTGACATTTGTCATGTATAAATCACAGGGCTCCTTGACCTCTACGCTTGCAAAGAGGGAGATTGTATTGGTAACGATATATCCAGTCATGACGTGGATAAGGAAACATGCGCAGTTCTGTGCCAACAACAGTGTCAATGTGTTGGGTTTGTCTATACTTTGCATCCTGAAGCAAGTAAACCATGCTGGCTGAAGCGTGAAATATGCGATACTCCAACAAGTATGACCAACACGCAGACGTATTACAAACACTGTGGGAAACGCCCAAAAACTAATTAAAACTGTACTGAATTATGAATAAACCCAATACCTTGTTCACGATAGTATTTCAAAATACATAAAGAATTCCTACAAAATCATAACAAAGCAATATACAGGGTGGGTTAAAAACAATACCCAATTTTAAAGATGAATGATTCATATGATATATGTTAAACCATGTCATGTATTATATACAACATCCAATAGAAAAACCTTTTTTCGTAGAGGTGGAGACTAAAATTGACACCAGGGGTGCCGTGAGCGACCAAAAATCAAATAATGAAGATCCCCAAATTCCCCTCCATATTGCAGTCACAGTTGCACTTTTACTTGACTGAATCATCATCATTTTATTTAAGAGTAATGCACAATTGATTATTAATTAAAATTATATAAGTATATAAAAGTATTATTGCTGGCTGGATTTGCGCTGTACTTGAATAAATGTACCTCTTTTGAAGGTGCCAAAGTTCAAATTTACCGCCATTTTCCACAATTTGGAAATCAGCAGTGAATAATTTTTTGGTCGCTCATGACGCCCCTGGTGTCAGTTTTAGCCCCGAACTCCATGGGAAAACAATGGTTTTCAATCAGATTGTGAAATCTTGTTAGGAAATGATTTATCTTTAAAATGATATACAATACATCGCATGGTTTAACGTTATATTATATGATATTCATCCTTAAACGTGGGTATTTTTTGGCCCACCCTGCATATAACAACATCGTCAGTTTGGAACACCTACAAGGGGCGGATCTGAAAACTAACAAGGGTGGTACATTTCAAGTGGGGCCCTATAACTAATATGGGGCCCAATTTTGAAAATTGAAGGCCCATTTCCTGATATTTGGGCTTAATTAAAAATAGAGTCCAAAAGGCCTAGTAATGCCAAAAAGACCCACTAATTATTTAAAATACTTTGGCCCAAAATATTTTGGCCAAATCCTCATGGGAGGGGAGGAGGGAGGAAGGGTGCGGGTCTTACCCCCAAGATCCACCAGTGAAAGGTTAGCATTGAAATACCTCGTGCGGATTGGTTTCATGCAAAAAGTGAATTGAATAAGTTTACGAAATATGAAATCCTTTTTCGATCTTTTAATGTTTGATCTCTTACACATTAATAACTGGAATACGGAAATGGGATTTTTAAATCGACTTTCAACTAAAATGCATAGTTAAGAATTGCCTGAGGATATATTAAAGTTTATTGTGGCATGGTACATACACGCTACATTTTTTCTATTTTTTAGTGCACTGCCTGTAATTTGGCACATTGTCAATATACTACATGGTAGGCAAATAAAAAAGAGAAATAGGCGCATCACCTAAGAAAACAGATTTTGAATTTTTAGTAATTTCTATATATTTTTAGGTACAATTCTTTATATCTCTTTATTCTCCATCATTTTACTCATATTTTTGTTTTATTTTAGAAACATTTAATGGGCATATTATCTTTGCAAAAATGTTATGATGATAGGTTGATAATGCGTTAATTATCGAAACAAATTGATGTAAGACTTATGAATTGTAGCAACATTTCAAGAGGCATGCAAATGCTTTTTCTGAGATTGAAAGCTGACATATTGGTCATTCTATGTCATGCGTTTCTTCATTTTAGATTATAAAATCTGTTTTCGTAAATTGTGACATCACAATCAAAAACGATCACAATATGTACAGTCATGAAAATAAAAATAAAATATTGCCCACCCTGTAGAGTTTAATTATGTTGATTTCCACACTTTTTGCCTTTACTACAGCCACAAAACACCACACTTGTTATCTCCATTCCTATCTAAGTGCATGGCTTTGCATGGTTTGGTACCAATGCATGATGTTAGGTATTTGCAAGAAGGGGTAGGTCATCGGGCTTGCTTTCAAAGTTTGGGAACATATTCCTTCGAATAGGACCATTTCCCAATGAGAAGATTGCAATCCCTTGCCTTGGAACGATTTTATGCTGTGTCGATGTTGTTTTGGTTTTGATTGAAATCTTTGGGAAGCTTGTGGAGAATATTCTTATGACATGGTTTCATTACCTTAAAGGCTATGAGCCAGCAATGAGCCTAGGATCGGACGATTTGGTATTGTGTCTCCCAGTCATTCATGCACTTTTGTGAGAGTACCAGCACGGTGGGTCCAATACTGCCTGACATGAACGCCTCCATGGATCTTCTTTCGTATTGGAAGGGTTTGGTGTAGGAAACTGTTACTATAGATCTTAGTAAAACTGAAAATCTCATTGTCTCTGAATTGAAGACCGACGTTTTACCCCAAGAAAAAGGACAGTGTAAGATTTTGTTACAATCTCCAACTCCTGCAGTCACCAAACCAGATACACAGCAGTACAGTATCGTTATTAAGCAACAGATGATGGAGTAACACCTGTTATACTGCCAATACCGTCCTGACCCGATAACATGCCCTCTCCATGCAAATAGGCAACATCATGTAATAGTACCAAGACGTGCACTTTCACTCTAAATGAAAATTACTTGACAACTAGCTAGATTAAGTAATTCAATTTATGTTAGTATTTTACAAAATTACATACATGTAATTATATTACTAGTAATTACTAGGTAATTGTTTTTTGATGTGAATCACTAAATTCAGTAATTATTATACTATCAATGTTAATAAATTACTAATATCTGTATTTTCATTTTATTTGTATGTAATTTATATTACTAAAGTAATTTTGGGGCACTTTTAGAAAGATAAACATGAAATGGTGATTCGTGGCTGAAGTAGACTAGACAAAACTTGTAGAAATCTCTGTTTAAACTGTAAATATGGTCATGTGCAAAATTACAAAAATTAACTTAATAAAGAGTCAAAACTGTACGTAGTGCGTATCATGCTAAAATCAGTTTTAAACAAATATTTTAAAATATATGATTGACCCCTATAATATGGCCATTTCGATCATTTTGAGTGGTCACAAAACCTAGGTCCTACGGTTCTTCTTGAGATAAAGTATTGGCATTGTCGGCCATTTTAAATAATTTTATGACCAACTTGAATTTCGAATTACCCTTTGCATTTGTTCGACTTCACTTCTTAAAAGAGAGCTTCGTCTTCAATTTCGAATGTCTCTCTATCTGGAACATGTACAAGAAGGTGTTGTATCAAGGTGTGCAAAAATTCTTGCTTTCTTATTAAAGCTAGTTTTTGAAGTGCCATATTGGATTTAACGCCCTCGCTACAGTAACAAAAGAAGAGTACATGTACATTTTTATATTGTCTTTAGATAATGAAAAATATAGTAAACTGTCAATCGTCTCTTGTGCCACACTGGTTTTTGATAGCTTGTCAAGTGTCCATTCTTTAAAGACAATATAAAAATAGTGTACTCTTCTTTTGTTACATCTGTGCATTCTTTAAGATAATCTACAGCTCATTCAATTGTGTTGCTTCTTCAGTGAGATTTATAGAGGTCGGGCATTTGTTCATACGTTACATTTGCAATGTATGTTTCACAGGACTCCTTGACTTATACGCTTTCAAAGAGGGAGATTGTGTCGGTAACGATATATCCAGTCATGACGTGGATAAGGAAACATGCGCCGTTCTGTGCCAACAACAGCGTCAATGTGTTGGGTTTGTCTATACTTTGCATCCTGACGCAAGTAAACCATGCTGGCTGAAGCGTGAAATATGCGATACTCCAACAAGTATGACCAACACGCAGACGTATTACAAAGACTTTGGGAAATGTGTATAAATAAAGAAACACACACTATTTGCATATATAATTCCATATAGCAACTTATGTGACAAACATGAACAAAAAATAGTCAGCTTGAATGCGGAAATATTTATTAAAAAACGCCACTTGGTTTTTCAAGTGCAGTCCCAAAAAAGATGCTAATATAACATTTATTTAATCGAGTGATATGTTTTGTACTGTTTTGAAATCCATTATTATTTGTCATAAATTAATAGTTAAATAGTTGACTTAACCGGAACAAGAAAACTTGGTTGGTCGAAATAAGTAGACCGAATGATTTGAACGTTTTCAGAAATCCAACTTTTTGACTGTCAAGGCTCAAGATGGAATTGATATGAAATATATAACCTCTTTTTGACATTAATCCACTCATAATTGACATGACCAAGATGACAATTGTCACGATGAGAATAATATTTAACTCATTAAAAATTGGGTAATTCAGGACTAAAAATATGGTTGAAAATAGTAAAATGTATACATGCTAAGTACACCCCTCTGTCTCTGTTCACCGACCGACCGACCCGCATGACCCGACCGACCGACTGGCAGACACATGGGGTGTACTGAACCATACTCTTAGAACCCGTATACCAACCTTGAAACTGCCTTAGTGTTAGACCCCAATGTTTCTCAAATTAAAATATCATTTTATAAAGAATGTGACCCATCAAAACATGCCTCCAAGAAGCAGATTCACAATGCACCTTTCTCCGTGGGCTATGCTTTGACTTCTACACGACGTACAGTAGTCTCACACTGAAATCCTCGATGCCGCTTGACAATAATCGCAAACTCTTCCTTTACACACTGTGGCTAGTCGATCAATGTGGATGCAGTCATGTATATGCAATGTTTCATGGGTTCTCGCGTACATTATAGTGAATGGGGTCGTTGAAAAAATATGACAGAAAATCGAGGTAAGTGATCTCAGAGTTTCTACTTAACATATTGACTTGAAATCTTGCATACATATTCAATATACATAGTATGACAATGTGTGAAAGTTTCAGCTAGCATATTCCTGTTATAGGGAAGATATTTGAACAACATTTCGTCAACGTCAACATATATGTATCAAATGGATTCAACTATGTATCATTTGGATTCAGAACGGTAACAAATGGGTGCTATAATAAATTATGCTTTTGTTATGATGATTTATTTACAGATGGACAACTGGCCAGATTTTCTTTGTATCCATTGTTTGGATAAACATTCCTTATTCAGTGAAGTAATTAGCCACACCATTACAATACACTCTCATGAAGAATTGAAAATTGATAGACTTTATATAGACCCGTCAACTGGAAAATGCCATTACAGAAGGAAAAACTATAGATTCATCCCTAATACTGTTAATTTGAAAAACGGGTCCATAACATGTAATGATGACAATGAAGATGTTGAAATTAGGTACGCCAATCAAGTGAATTCAGAGCCCAAGAACCATCAACCCACTGAAATATCCACAGATCAAGTTTCAGAGCCATTAACATTCCTTGAAAGTGACAATGAGCAGCCAACAGATGGACCATCTGTAAATCTTGGTGATTTTGTCAGCTCAGCTGCAAGAGCCTACAGATTCCTTGAAACAAATGACCCAAATTCAAGAATTATATCATCTATTTACAATTTTTTTGAAATCGTGGTAAGTGGAATCTTTCCAATTACCAATATAGGATTATTATTGTTTTTGGACACTGTGGACTATTTCACCGCTCCATGTGCCAAACAAGTAAGATACTGAAAGGAAACTAAACACTTTTGGTTCATGGGCTTTCATCTGTTTCATGGGAAGTTTCTGAGGTAAGACTTCATTCATTTTTACTTTTAATTCTTATGATAATAGAATATATCTAGACTTTGGAAATTGAACAAGTTCAATTTCAGACTCCAGATCTAGACTTTTTTAAGCCCAGTCATCCAGAATAAGCCGAGTCATCCAGAATAAGCCGAGTCATCCAGAATAAACTGAGTCATCCAGAAAAAGATGGATGGATGGATGAAATAGGAAGGAGGGATAGGATAGAATAGGAAGGAACGATAGGATAGAATAGGAAAGGATGAGATAGAATAGAATAGAATAGCAAGGAATGATAGAATAGGAAGGAAAGGAAAGGATAGGAAGGATAGGATATGATATGATAACATGGGATAGGATAGGAAGGATAGAATAAGAAGGAACGATAGGATAGAGTAGGAAAGAAGGATAGGATAGAATAGGAAGGATAGGATAGGAAGGAAAAGATATGAAGGAAAGACAGATAGAAGGAAGGATAAGATAGGAAGGATGGGTGGAAGGATGGATGGATTTTTCAACATTTTCTTCACTTCTCTTGACTTTCTATCAGGATACCATAAGATCGATTTTTCTCGAAATTTCAAAACGACATAACATAAGTCGGATCGAAATTTAGTTTGCAGATTCAGATCCCTTAGAAAATTCTATCGTTAATTCATAACTCATACGTTAAATTTAGAGAAGTTTTTATTTTGACCTACTTTTCAGACACCATATCTCAAAAGTGGGTCAAAATACTTTCTGACGGCAAAAGGCTAACACTATTAGCACACTCTTGGCTACATGTATACACCATTTCGAAGAATATAATTAAAGTGTAGTGTCAGAATCGCAAAAATAAGGAAAAACTTTGAATTTGACCTAGATTTTGACCTAGGCATTTTGGTGTCCAAATTTTGAAGCTAGATGGCTTTTGAGGTTCCATTCTTTTAAAAGCTTTCATTGTATTTAGCTGAACTCAGTCTATATTTCGTATTTTTCACTTCAAAAAAATCTTTTTTCCCATTGACTTAACATGGGCACCAAATTTAGCGATTTTTGAGCTTTCAAAACGCAATAACTTCCGAACCGGAAGTCCGATCCAAATTTCGTTTGCAGATTCGGATTCCTGAGATCATTCTACACTTATTTCATAACTCTCATGTTGAATTTGTAGAATTTTTTGTTCTGACCTACTTTCCGGGCACCATATCACAAAATCGGTAACAGTAATCAAAAATCTGATGGCACACTTATGAAAGGGCTGTTTCTAAGCTACATGATAACAAAAGACAAAGCTGTTTCGATAAATAACGACGAAGATAATAGACAGATTTAAGATTTAACCTTGTTCTTGACCTTTGACCTAGATAAAAAATTGACCCAATTTCCGAGAAACTGGATACTGGTCCTAAATTGACCATATACAGGACTTGACTCAATGTCTTCTAGTTAAGGAGAAAACGTGTGTAGAAGAATAAAGAAGAAGAAGAATACTGACAAAAGCTATAGACTCCAGATTTACATCTGGAGTCTAATAAAAATGGTCCTGATCAACACAGGCTTCGCTATAAGTATTGCAGTAGCACATTGGTGGAGGAGGCCATGGTTCTTTACCATGCGTTTTTAGTGCGATTTTGCTATTGAAAAGGTTGCCACATTCATCGCACATGTGGCGTGTTGGGGTTGTTTCCTCCACTGGCTGTACGACAACCAGATCCATCTACAAAATAGTTGTGATATATATTGAAAATAAAATCAAGATGTCCATCATCTTGAGTAAACATCAGATTATCGTCGGGCATCAAATATTCACCATATACTACTGTAAAATTATATTTTTGTTGAATTATTGTCCCAACTCAAGTTTATATGTAACCATATTTGTTTCTTCCTGATGTATCCAATGAGAGCGTTTAAGAAATATATGTAAAATATTAAAAATACACACATTCAAAATGATTCAATTAAAACCTAGCCAGTCTGTTCATTGAATCCAATTAGAACGTCTACTAATCCACATGATACATCATAATTAAATTGCTTTTTTAAAGCGGATATTTCATACCATAACCCCAAAAATATTATAAAATGCGTTGTATTTGTATTTTACTTCACACAGACATATTTGTGTACGTGAAATAATTATATTACTTGAATGTTTTATTCCCCATTATAAGGTAAACCTATGGCAATTATACATACCTTCTCACAGCTATGAGCGAGGTGATAAAACTGGTCGAGTGAACTCGTTTGAGTTATCTATTCGCTGTAAAATTATCAGAGAATGTGTGTTTATAGCGTTGCTTTGGTTTGGTAAATCAATGAAGTATGATATACACGGATGAGTAAATGTAGATTATTTAAACAAAAGTGCAAATTTCTTCCATTGAAAAGTACAGAGGCGGGTACTCACGAAACATTACATGTGCTTGTCTGCATCCACATAGATCGACTAGCCACAGTGTTACAACTTGTGAGCGTTAAAGTCCCCGATAAATCGGGCTACGTATACCGCCGTGTTTACATTAGGGGATTAGAAGAGTTTATTTTTTATTTAGGTATGCAAGCTACGTATATCAATATTAGGCCTTCATTCATGTACTCGTGTGCATGTAATCAGCATGCCCTTCAATAATATGTAAACCAGGCTATTCAAGTACTGTATAATGTACACTATTTATGTGTGTACTACATACAATACAATTCCCTGGGAAACAAAACACAAATACTTTTTATATGTTCAAAATGAGCCATTTGATTGATGCAAACACTAAATAGCTTCATAAATAACATCTACAAAGTATATCTAATAGTAATTTTCAATTTCAATGGTGAAACTTCCCTGGTTACGATTATATGGGAAATCATCACGAGACGAAGATCGTTCGACTTCCTGGCTTACCTCTGAATCGTGTACCTGGTAATCTCTTTATATAGTTTAGCGAGAGCGGTGCGCCTGCGCAGTTTTAAACTTTGGCGCACACTTTAATTGATTGAGCAATTACTTTGGTGCATTTTCTTAACGAAAATTGTTTCAATTTTAGATTATTTTTGGCTCATATCATTCCTTTTCATGTCTTTTTTCTAAAAATACCCCCAACTTTTTTTTAGAATAATGCAATAAATTTTCCATAAGAATGGTTACACTTTTATTCCTTATTCCCCCATTTTTGCACATTGGATCTACTTCACCAATTGATAATATATCACTGCTCTCTTGGGAGATTATATTTGAGTTTGTAAGGAATACATTGGTAGATATAGTGTACATATTGCTTGTAGTTGTGTCACTCCCTATACACGTAGATCTGATGCTACTTTCAAATTGTATAGTGTCAAGTGCTAAAAATGCAACATACATCTAAGAAATTAATATTTCCCAGTTTCTTTCTCTCTAATTGCTGCAAATTTGTCATATTGAAGTAGAAAGTGCGTATCCCAATAAATGATCACTTTAATGAAAATGTACCTACATAATTTTTTTTATCTTGGATAAATGTTTTTAACTGATTGTTCTAAAGTCTTATGGGTTGGATTAAAGCTAAATCAAGCTTTATGGTGTTTAGTCGTCTAGGAGCTCCGAGGATTCGTTCGAACATTTGAAGCAATTGTTAAGTCTAATTTCAATTAGTTAAAACGATATTTGGTAAGCTTTCTATTTTCTACTAAATTTTAACCGTGAAAGTGACAAAGTTAAAGTCCCGGTCTAAAGTTTGAAAATATTTTTTTATCATTCATTTTACTATTCGTCATGAATTAAAAAGTTATTCTAGAGATTTTTGTTTAAACCACTTTGGCTTTTACTCGTATATAAGCCAAAGTGGTTTAAACTTTATATGGTGAGTTCAAGCTTTCTAAAACTGGTTAAAACGGCTAACACGTGTATTAGATGTAAATGTGTACTAAAAATCATAAAGCAATACAATTCATCTAGAATGAATCGAGAAGAATCGTGTATATTCTGTCCCTTGGCTATCCATAATACGATCTATATAAACCTTTGGCATATTTTGTTTAGTTCACTGTCCAACTGTCTCACGATGGCCGCCCGTCGAGCTTACGTTGATTTGCGTCTGCCGTAGTAGTATTTTGATGGGTAATGTACCTTTGAAAAAAAAATTAAGTCAGCTGCTGTCACATCTTTGCTGTGAACACAACGCAATAGTATGTTCGTGATGCAAGGTCATTAGAGAACTTTCGATGAAAATTGTTTTGAAATCGTAAACGTAAACTTGTATTTAAAAGGTAGAATCATGTTATATTTTCAATCACAGCTAATTAAAATGCTCTTAAAGCTGTATGGATTAGTCGTATATATGACAAAAGCAACATATTTAATAAAATTCCATACTTTTATTTTAACAAACTGGCTCCGAATATTTTATTAAAAATGAATGTTTTCTCTAATGAGCATCTTGATAGACTGCCTGTGTTCTGTAAACAAGTTCTAAAAGCATACAAAAGTTGTAAAGACCATGATATAATTAATAAATTAAAACACCATGAAATAATCCAACAAACCATATGGACTAACACCCCAGTCACATTTGTCGTACGGAGGCCGTGTGTCGACCGCAGATCAATTAAATCAGTGTATTTCTGCGGCGAGCGTAGGAAAACTACGCTCGCCTTGCGGCCTCCGTACGGCGTATCCAATTTTTTACAGGCCGCAGGGTCGCCGTAGAAATTATAACTCGGAGTTATAATGTTTGTTCATTTCTGAGGTCCCCATAGAAATCAACTGGCTCAACAAGATCGAATCATTATTTGTCAATTTAATTAATGGCAATTTAATTAATGGCCATCTTTTGAATGGTAACAATATAATTTGAAATAGATATACATACTTTCATCTATATTGTTTTAAAAAACACATCAAACACTTGTTTTGTTCTTGGTATCATGTTTCCAGATTGAAATGAAACATCTTTCTGAACCTCAGTGCAACAAAACGACATAAACATAAAACATGTTTAGGTCTCTCAATATTGTAATTGTACAAAGGAAATTTTGGTTGATTTTAAAAAAGTATCTTGTTAATGAAATAAAAGGTTTTTGTTGATTTTTATCTATTTTGGGGGGATTTTGTTTTAATATTTTGAATACTTTTTTAAAATCAACCAAAAATTCCTTTTTATAACTTTAATATTGAGAGGTCTAAAAACATGTTGTATATGCTATTTTGTTCCAACAAGGTTCGGAAATACATTTTATTTCATTCTCAAGAATTGGTAGAAAGGAGCAAAAAAAATTGCACTAAAAAAACAAAAAATGTTAACAAAACAGTTATATAAAATATTCTTAAATAATTTTCGCATTAAATTGTTGTCAATCAGTCAACATTACATAAAATACCATGTTTTTACAGAATGTTTTCAATGATTGGAAAAACATTGTTGAATTCAGTTCTCCATAGAACTGTCCTGATTTGTGCAAAATTCCATTCATGTCACTTGTCTAGTTTAGGAGATTTTGCCTACTTCAATGGTCTCCTTTTTTCCGGTCACCCTGTATGTATATAACGTTTATATTGTTTGAATTGTGTTGTAATTCTGTAAACACAAGTGCATTTAACAAAGTTACTTGGGCAACCACACCACCACAAACTCGGCTAACTGTTACAGTATTGTTATTTCTGTAATTCAAGTAATTCAAGCAGTTTATCCCTTATCATTTAGTATTAAAATGGGTATAGTCGTTGCAAATTATGGTCCAGATATCTTTTGAAAATCAATATCATGTGACATATTTTCTAGAGTTACAATACCGTTGCCACCGTCGGAATAAATAATAAACCAAATTTGTTATCCTGACCATCATATTTTATCAGTTTATCCATCATATTATCGGGAAAGAGTATCTTGAATTCCTCAAGTGTGTAATATACAAGCTTCGAACCAGTGTTGCATATTACTGCAGCATGATTCATCATCGTGTTCAATTTGTACGGAGTTTTTTGCATGTAACTGAGAGCAGTTGTAAAGTTTATTCCATCAAATTTTGGGGTATTCTTTCTCTTTGAAACATCGCCAATATACTCTGCAATGTCTGCTTGAATCCAACTTATTCTATTGAGTCTCTCTTTGATGAATTCATAATTTCCCTCTCTTAAGTATGCAGGCAGTCGACATTCCTCAGTTACGTCACCCGTGAGCAATGCTTCCAAAAACTCATTTTTATTATTTGGGACGTGTTGCACCATTCTATCAAACTGCTTCAAACATGCCAATCCATAATTAATACCATCGTCTGGAGGATCATACACTTGGGCTGCAAATTTATTACGCATGTCCGTATACTCTTTCTTCCAAGGCTTTGAATTCCAAATCTCACTGTGAAATCTAAGCTGCTCGTCCATGTCATCACCTAATTCAAGGTACTGTTTGATCGTTGAGTCATCATGTATCTCAGGAAGTCTTGACTTCGAGAACTCATTGACTATTCTATCTTGGTGGCCGCAATAAAGTAAACCATCTTCAATGCAGTTCAAGTGTTTTTCCCAATATGCTTTAGTTTCCGGTTTCAGGGCACTTCTAATATGTTCATAAAGTTCGAGCCTCTCACTTTCAGCGATTTTTCTCCTATTTATACCTATCAGTGTACAAAAGTCCGACCTGGATAGAAGTTCCATTCCAGTCGTTTGTAACTTAGCCATGTGAAGTTGAGGGGCGCTGACATCTAACGCGATCACTTCTTTTGGGTCCGCGAGTAGCTTCGAAAGGGCGTGTGCTCCATTTGCAGCGATGGTTAGAATTCTATCACCAGATTTGATTTTCATCATTGTATTAACTCTTTCCATATCGATGTAATTCTAAAAAAATCATCATCGTAATTATTAGTCTCGAATAATAATAATAAGTCATTATTTATTCAAAATTAATAAGAAAAAAGATTGTGAATCAAAAATTGCACAAAAAAATTAAAACGTCCAATCTAGAAATCGATCAAACCTAGCAAATCGAAGAAAACAAAGTAATCATAGTCATCAGATGACTCAAATAATACACACCGGCGGATCCAGGATTTTGTGTTAGGGGGCGTGTGATAATAACTGTGAGCGAATTAAAAAATTTGTAAAAAACGATGAGGCAAAACACGAATTTTCCGACTTTTTTTTTTTTGGGGGGGGGGGGTGCGCCCCCCACGCCCCCGTCTAGATCCGCTGGTGATACATGTTATGGCGATGTTCTGTTAAAAGCATAAAATGCAATAGTTTAGACAAACAATCCCCACTTCAGCTACGTTGGATGTCATATATGATCAATATTTGATACGATGTAGTTATTCACCAGGAGGGATTTGATATTGGGAATATAACTAGGATATTATGAATATTTTCAGAGGGAACGCAGTGATAGAGGGAAATATACATATCATCCGAAGGATATTCTTCATATGCTCCTGACAGGTAAATAACGACCTTATACAATTTCCAAGAGAAAGCTCTACCTAAAATCCTTTGTTGAATGAGAAAAATGTCAAAAATGAGAAATTTTGAAAAATAAAAAATTAAAATTCTTGAAAAATTAAAATTTTTGAAATTTTCATTATATTGTTTCTCAGCAGTGGTGGTTTCATTATGTTGTTTTTCAATATGTCCACTATCACTCTTTTTACAGACCTGCATTAAACCTTACCTGACTAAAGAATACTTCTTCTTGAATTTGTTTTTTTCCAATTGGTTTTCCATAGTATAATCTGTAACCTGTGTTAAGTGGCAGACTCGCCTTCAAAATTTTTTGATATGGCATCAACCGAAATGCTGATAAAAGAAACATCGCTGTTTTAACCCTGTCTTCTTATCTAGAGTGCAATTTAAGTTAGCTGTGTCCCGTTAAATGCTGTTTGTTTCCAAGTAAACTCAAATCACCTCTTTGATCGAAACAACAGTGTGTCAGCCAATGTTCACTTAGCTGTCAAGTAGGTTTATTAATTGGATGATTAATAAACAGCGGTTTCTAATCTATCGTTCCAACCCCATCTGTCTTGCCTATACATATAACAGCTATAATAGCAGAGAAAAGTTACAGTGGTAGTTTAAATCGTTGTGTTAAAAATGCATTACTACAGGGCGTTCAATAAGTACTGATAAAAATGCTGTAACTTTTTAAATTTTTCTATATTTCTGACTAATCTTTCTACTTTACAATCTTGAGTATTCACGTGAGAGTTACAATAAAGCACCTAACAGGAAGGTGGTACTGGGTTGAGCCTAATTGGTGGAATCGATGGACGAATCAAATTCGTTTTAACAAACACGTGATTTAAACATCACATCTCTTCTTTTTTTAATTTTATTTAAGATGAACGACAAAATATATACATACTATTTACAGTGTACAATACATAATCAATTGAATGAGCAGTTAACTATTTTTCAACATGTTCAAAAATCAATCAGAATTAAAAAACACTGTCAGCTAAAAAATAGATGCTGTTCCTATTAATCTCCATAGATGTAGTCTTGGATATGGATAATCCAGGGTTACCAAATAATATTTCATTACACATAATACCTGGGAAATGCGTATCCCATAATTTTTTTTTTGCATTCATAGAATTAATGCATCAGGTTGTCTTGAACTAAACAATCTTGACACAGTTCATTTTGTACTTCATCAATTCTCCCTTACGCGGTTCGCCCTTTGAATCAGAACGTTCGCAAATATGCACTGAAAAAGCACTCAAAAAGGACAAAATTTGATTGGTCAATATTTTCCCACTATGCATTTCGCGTAGCTATTTGTGTGACCCGAAAGTTCTAAATCAAACTAATTACGCAATTTTGTTTTTACACCCGCACGCTAAATAAAACAATGTCACCATCGGAAGTGTTCTTCTTTGTCATTGCTTTAATAGTCAGTATACCGAGTTTAATCAATAAAAAATTGTACAATGAACAACAAAATTCGGAAACGAGTACTATAGATTTGCTTTCGGTCTACTGAACAGATTGACCTAGATAATAGCGACACGTCTTCTTTGGTCTACTGCTCAGTTGTTTGTGGGTTTTCAACGTAACTCTATAATGTAATTTGAAGATGAATACTTTTATTCAGTTGTTGCATCGATGTTGCAGCTTGTAGTGCGGTAAGATTGGCATGAAAGTATTGAAAGTCGAATGGAATTGTTTTTTCCAATATGGCGACTAGTCAACTGATCACGTGACCTTCTCTTCCGGAATATTTTCTCACTTTTCATTCATCGTTTTCACCACGCCATGAATCAATACAATGAAAAATAGCTGTTATATTAAGATTAATAAGAGATCAATCGTTTCTTATAATTTTTTCTGTACTCTCGTACGGGAATATGAACGAATATAGGTGTGGAAATCCCCATGTTAAACCTATGAGGGAAAACAAGGAAGTATAAATTTGTTCCTCCGCGAACTGCATCATGGGAAATATTTTGACCTTATAAGGAAAGAGTTTTGCGTCTCCTCTTTTGAAGAGGGAACAACGATTTCGAGAATTTGATATTTATAAATTAATTTTCTGGTAGGAAATATTCTATGCATAATTTTCCACTGTTTCCATTCTATCATTTTTGTTTCTATAAATAATTCTTTTGTAAGGGTCCATTGTTTTTCACTTAATATATCTGGACCAATGAGCAATCTATCTTTAGTTAATTTAAGTCTTACATTTCTATATGTTATATATTTTACATTAATGTTTCTGAAAGATAAAGACTCATTGTGTTGTGGAATAGTTCTATTTATTAACAGTCTTGAAATAATTGAATTGACTGTTGTATACTGAAACCAAGTTTCACCATTTCTTAAGAGAGTTTCACATAGTCGTTCATAAGATATCATTGTGTTATTTACAAGTACATCTGAAATATAAATTAGACCTGATCTGATTCAATTTTGAAAAATGTAGGAACCTGAAGAAACGTATTCATTTTTTGTTAAATAAAATCAGCAAATACAATTGCCTACCTAACTTGTATGTTTTGCAAGGACTCGGATGGTTGGATATTCTGTCAAAATGACTTTCGGCAAACCTACCATTTCCCATTGGTTAACATGGGAATGTCAATTTAAAAAAACACATCTAATTTATCATCAATTTTCAACCTATTGTAATTGGGGAGAAAATTGAGAAAATTTGGAGGTATTTGAAATAAAGTCAAGTTACGTTTCTATTAATATTATAAGTATTTTCATCGCATGTTAAGTAAATAAAAATGCAAACGTAAAGACGCTTTAACACATAGTTCAATGGGGGAGCTAAGGTTGCCAAACTTATGGAGGGGAATGTAATTAAATAAAACTTTAATCCCTCGTTATTCAATTTCTATGAAATGGGTTTCATTCATAATGATAATTAATCCGTTTGTTAGAGGATTTAATTCTACAGCCAAGGGTTCTAATTTCCACAGAAACAATTTGCGAATTAAGTTTATATATTAGTGATTGTACGTCTCTGTGTTATGTTTACATTATGTTAAATTTTGGATTTAATCGATAAACTCTTTGGAAAATAAATTTCTGGATTTTTAATTTTTAGATTTCCTCTCATTTTTCTCCATTGATTCTCTTGTCACATTAACACTGACATAAACAACCGCCTGTATTCACTTTGCAAACCAGGCAAAGCAGTCAGGACATTGAAATGATAAATTCAGCATGAGCAATTTACACTTTCTTAAAATCAGTAATAAAGATATCAGAAAATATGGAATCATGTCATCAAATCAAGGAAAAGACATCTTGAATTAAATCGTCCCATTTCCAGCAATAACAGTTTTGGCTATGGCATTAATGGTTGAGAAATAATGATCGAAACCAGCCATGGTTTTTTCCCAGTTACTCCCAGAGTGTGGATCTCGTTCAAGAGCAGAGGTTTCTCCCGAGGCGTGGTGACTCCCGAGCCGAGGTTGCTCCAGAGCCTGGACCCCTTCCGGGAGACAGAGTTTGTTTTGTTTCTCCTGAGACGAAACGGCTCCTGCCTGGAGCTGAAGATACTCCCAGCGTTTGGATCTCGTTAAAGAGCAGAGGTTACTCCTGAGAAGTGGCGACTCCCGAGCAGAGTTTACTCCGGAGCCTGGACCCTTCCAAGAGACGGAATTTGCGTGGTTACTCCTGAGACGAGACGACTCCCGGAGTTGACGATACTCTGAGCGTGTGGATCTTATTCAAGAGCAGAGGTTTCCCCTGAAAAGTTGCGACTCCCGAGCCGAGGTTGCTCCAGAGCCTTGACCCCTTCCAAGAGACAGAGTTTGTTTGGTTTCTCCAGAGACGAGACGACTCCTGGAGCTGACGATACTACCAGCGCGTGAATATCGTTCAAGAGCAGAGGTAACTCCTGATAAGGGGCGACTCCCGAGCAGAGTTTACTCCGGAACCTGGACCCTTCCAAGTGACAGAGTTTGCGTGGTTACTCCTTAGACGAGACGATTCCCGGAGTTGACGATACTCTGAGCCTGTGGATCTTGTTCAAGAGCAGAGGTTTCTCCCGAGAAGTGGCGACTCCCGAGCCGAGGTTGCTCCAGAGCCTTGACCCCTTCCAAGAGACAGAGTTTGTTTGGTTTCTCCTGAAATGAGACGACTCCTGGAGCTGACGATACTACCAGCGCGTGAATCTCGTTTAAGAGCAGAGGTTACTCCTGATAAGGGGCGACTCCCGAGCAGAGTTTACTCCGGAGCCTGGACCCTTCCAAGAGACAGAGTTTGCGTATTTACTCCTTAGACGAGACGATTCCCGGAGTTGACGATACTCTGAGCCTGTGGATCTTGTTCAAGAGCAGAGAATCTCCCGAGAAGTGGCGACTCCCGAGCCGAGGTTGCTCCAGGGCCTCGACCCCTTCCAAGAGACATAGTTTGTTTGGTTTTTCCTGAGATGAGACGACTCCTGGAGCTGAAGATACTCCCAGCGTGTGGATCTCGTTCAAGAGCAGAGGTTACTCCTGAGAAGTGGCGACTCCGAGCAGAGTTAACTCCGGAGCCTGGACCCTTCCAAGAGACACAGTTTGCGTGGTTACCCCAGAGACGAAGTGACTTTTGGAGCTAGACGAACTCCAGAACTTAGAAGATCCCCGCACATAGAGACCAGACGACTCTTGAAGATATACTTTATATTATATGGACATGTTGTTATTTATTGTGAACACTTAAAATCCCTGTAAATAATTGTTTTGTACGAGCCATCTTCTACTGGTAACTGCTGTACCACCAAACCAGGTCGGCACCCTAATAACACCTCCGAAGATCCCTTATTGATCGTGTCCTTGGCCTTTCCCCAGTAAGTATACAGGGTGCTCTGTGAAATGGCCTGGACGACAATATTGATCACATGAAAATGAAGTGCTCAATTCCAGCTGGCTGCCACCTTTTAAAATTTCACTCAGGAAGTATTACAAAACCAGCTGGATATTCTTTTTCAATTTTGTCTATGATTTAATCTTTCTAAAAGTCTCTTCTTTCATTCTATGCTGACAAGCTCTGAAATTAAGTAAGCAAATAAAGTAAGGGCCACTTGTCTAGAAGTGATTTTGTGCTACTTTGGTGATTATAGCTACCATATTAGGAGAGAGATGGCAGGCGGGGAATATACCTTTAAGTGTTGTATAACATGGTCTAGGGCTGTAGGTAAAATGTATGAGGACACTCAGAGTTCAGAGAGTAGTAATAACATATAGGGCTCATAATTAACATTTTATATATAAAGATTTTTGTCTGCATAATTCTACATCGGAGACTGATATTGGTCAGTAAGGTTATCTTAAATAAGTTGAATTGACGTCACCAATTTGTGAAAGTAACATCGGCTTTATGTTAGG